TCCCCTCCCAACTCAGTCCTGACCCAGTTATGGGTCCTCAGCTGCTGAGCCAGGTAGTTCCCTGGAAAGACGTCCTGAAGGGCGCCCAGTGGTAGGGACTGCAGCTGTCATCAGTGAGGTCCCATGGTGACCAAACTGCAAAGGAGTGGAGAGGTTCATCAGTCAGCTTAAACCTCACTCTGAAATTCGTTCAGCTGTTGCAGACAGAAAGAATGATGTCATTTATCCAGAGCAGCCCCTCAGCAGCCAGGAGCTCCTGCTGGGCTGCTCTGAGTCTGCAGATGGGTGTTTACAAAAATACCCCTGGGACCCTGGCATCCATGGTTTAAAAAGCCCTCTGGGTGATTCTCCCGCTTCAGGCATTTGACAGAGGAGGCACTGTCATAGTCACTGGCAGGGAGGGGACCCGCTAGCTAGTAGGAAGAGGCCAGGAGTGCTGCTCACCCCTCTACAGTGACAGGACACAGCCCGAGTCGGCCTTCAGGGTCCCAGCAGGAGCACACCCTGGCCAGTGCTGCAGAGGAGGCTGTTTCCTGAGCCAGGGCCGGGGTTGCAGGCCCTGAGCCAGCCTGGCCTCTGCCCATGCCAGGGAGCATGGTCACCAGGTGAGCAGCTGCAGGAGGGAGGAAGGAAGGGGTGGTGCCCTGCCCAGAGTGAGTGCCCAGAGTGAGCGCCGGGCAGCCCCGGGTCCTCGCCTCTGTGAGGGAAGGGAGCCGAGCTTGCTGATGGTATAAACTGAGTTTAGCAGTGCGCTGTCTCACCGAGGGCAGCACTTTGGCCTGCCTGTTTTCTATGAATGAGCATTGCTGAGGACCAGGCCACAGTGTCTCCCCACACCCTACCCCTGCCCCCTAAAGCCCTCTTGCAAACGGGGTCTTCCAGCCTCTCCTTAAAGCAAGCTGATGACTGGAAAATGGACATTTAAGTAAAAAGGGATTTATTTTCAAAGCACCTCACTCAGAGATGTCTTGTCCGTGATGGATTCCAGGGAGGTGGCTTTCTGGGGTTGCCAGCAGTGAGAAACAGGATTTCTCCTGAGGGACCTGAAGTGACACACACAAGCAGGGTGACATGTGCTGAGTAGCCAAAGTGGTTGACTTCCCAGGGAGATCTGGGGCGACAGCTCCTTCCTGTGCCGAGGGACACCTGCAGTTTCTCACCTGTGAAAGCGAGTGTGTCAGGGACCTGTTGGCGGGGTCTGCTGGTCAGGGTCCTTCCACGAGCCAGGGTCCCCCCTCCCAGTGGCCCCAGGAACTCCATCCAAGTGGGCTCTGTCTGTCCCTCCCCACTTGTCCCTGGACTCCGTAGTGTTGTCCTTCTCAGTGTCCCTCATAAAGGGGTGTCAGTGGACGTGGAAGGTGGTTTTGCTGTGGTGCGCGGGCTCCGTGTCTGGGCTCTCGGAGCTACTGCCTGGCAGTCCACGGAGTCCATGGCACGCACACCCGGTGGGAGCAGACGAGATGCTCCAGGGGAAAGTGTTTACCTGGGGACCACCCAGAGCTCTGTGCTTCTGGAGAGTCAGTGGATGGTGACTCATCAGCTCCATGTCTAGAGCAGAGGGAAGGTTTTTATTATTACTAGGAAATTTATTTGCAGTCATTTTCTAGGAAGTCCAATAAGTCGCAATTTATCCAAAGGAAAAAAAAGCTATCACCAAGACTAGGAGTGTGGATTTCTTTTGTTCCTGTGTGTCTGCTGATAATGCATCTCAGTAGAATTAGGTTGTGATTTAAGTGTAAGCAGTGACTTCTCTATTTAATGTATTTCTCATGTGCTGCCCTGTGGCTCCCATTTACATCCCTGGTTCTCTTTGGATGGGGTTTTGGATAGGTGATTGTGGGCGGGGCGTGAGTTTGGAATAACTGGAACTGGAGCCCTGGGATCAGAGGGGCAGGAGAAGGCTCACGCTTCAGTCTTTTGATGGGTGTGAAACCTCGGGGGGGGGGGGTGTCAAGCCCAGTGCTGTGTGTTGCTCCTTGCAGAAAATCCCAGGTCAAACCAGGTTTTTAAAAAATTCCAGCAGTCCTGCAGGACGTTTCAGGAGTGTAGAGATGGGGGGAGCTGGAGGTGGGCTCCCACCCTGTCCCGTCCCTCCTGGATTTTTCCTCATGCTCAGCCAGCTGCCTGGGGCTGCGTAACAGACACCACAGGCTGGGCCCCTTGGACAGTGGACATCCACAGTCCCCGAGTGGATCAAGGGGACAGGATGAAGAGCTGGCAGGGCTGGCTCCTCTGATTCTTGGAGAAGACGTCTCCTCCCTGTCCTCGCGTGGTCTCTCTGTGTGTATCCCTGGCCTCCTCTTCCAGGCCGCCAGTCATACAGGACCAGGGCCCGGCCTGCTGCCCGCTTTCACCTTCACACTTAGGACGTCTCCAAATACAGCTGCGTTCCAGGCACTGGGGTTAGACTCCTGCAGGTGTTCTGTTTTGTTTTTTGAGCCAGGGTCTCACAACACAGTCCAGGTTGGTCTTGAACTCGCCATATAGCCCAGGGTGATCTGAAATTCGGCATCATCCTGCCTCAGCCTCCCTACTGCTAGGGGCACAGGCCTGTACAGTACCCAGTCCAGGGTGTCCTGTTGGGGTCGGGCCATGTTCAACCCGTGGCAGAGCCTTTTCAGGGAGACAAGAGGAAGATGGCATCACTGGCCTTTAGCGGCTTTTTAGGAACCTTCCATCTGGTCCTCTGTGTCACACAGTCACCCTGGCACTGGTGAGGGGCTGCTTGAACTCTACAGAAGCAGCTGCGGTGGGCGGGGCCCAGGTGGTGGCAGAGGGGACAGGTGAGCCAAGGAAGGGCACATTCTGGTTGCAAACAAGGTGAGGATTCTGTGCCCTGAGTGTGGAAGGAGGAAGGGGAATCAGGGCTGAGTATTTCAGGGGCGTCACTGCTGGGCCTGACACACCCACACCCTGAAAGGCGTGTCTGTAGCTGACCTGTGAGGGACTGGGGCACTGCGCAGTGGCCATGAAGTCTCAAAGGATAAAGGGGTGCCTGTGTGCATGCCCCTGCCCCCAACCAGGGCCCTCCTCAGAGAGTAGTTGTATGTAATTTGTTTTCTTCAGTACCGGGGATTGAACCCACAGCCTTCACACTGAGCCACGTCATTAGCCTCCTTTAAGAAAAACTATTCTGAGACATGATCTCCATAAATCACTGAGTTGCCCGGGCTGGACTCTAATGTGCAGCCTTTCTGCCTCAGTCTCCCAGAGTGCTGGGATTCTAAGTGTGCATACTTGCACCTGATTCTTGCTTACTTTTGATATAGTGACAAGGTGGCCTTTGCTCTGAACTGACCCCCTGCCCTTCGGCAGGTTTGTCCAGCCTCTCGGGCCTTGAAGTAGCAAGTTGTTCCTGGCCCTGGCCTGGAGCTCTGCTTCCTGAGCGGAAGGGAAAAGAACGAATGAATGCCTGGATCCGTGGTGAACCCAGCTACGGGGCCCGTGCTTGGTGTGGGCTCGGCCCCAGCCTCTCCCTGGTTCTTCTGGAGGCGGGAAGATGCTGAGGAGGAGTTGGGATCCCCTAAGTGTTCCAAATGGGGGTGACTTTGCGCAGAGGGAAACAGGCAGGTGGAGCAGTGGGGTTTGGCTCAGGAGCCCAACAGCCACCGCCTGACAGAGGTGCTCTCCTCGCCTCTCTGAATCCCTCCTGCCCGCCTCCAGTCCGCCTTCCCCCAGTGCCACCTTCCTTGCCTTCTGGCCGGAGCTGAGTTCTGGCCGTGTCAGACCCGATGGGGAGATCAGGCGGTCACAGTGTCAACCTCGGGATGGCCGAGGCCCTGAGCTTGTCAGTAGCTGCCTCTCCCTGAGGGTGACAGGGCAGCCACCCCTCCGGATCCAAGGAAACGAGTTTCAGAATCCCCACAGGTACTGGAATCTGTGGCTGCTCATGTCACAGTGGTCAAGTGGTTCCGTCAGCTGAAGACCACCCTCCCCAGCTCTCTGGCCTCCTTACGATGCCGCAGATGGTGTCAAACTGTGTGTGTGAGGGGTCTGCATGCCACATTGCTGGGGAATAATGAATAACGGACAGTACATCATGGTACATGTTCCCGCAGACCCAGATTTTTGTCTTAATGGTTTCCCTCCCAGGGTGCATGGCCACGAAGGCCACTGCCTTCTGCTGAATGTGCCTGCCATGTGGCGCTCATGTCCCCACCTGCTGGGGGGCCCTGTGAGTGAAACCCCAGACAGCATAGTCACTGTGCCTGCTACTACACGGCCCACCACGGGTACAAGGAGGCACACCACCCTGCTGGTCAGGAAGACAACTCACAGACAGGGGAGCCAGGGTGCTTCCGTGGAACCTGCCCTGTGGGACCCTGCTTACCCCCTCCAGGTGGTTTCCTCTTCCTGTTTCATGGCCTTAAGCCACGAAAGTAGGCAGCATCCACGCCAAGCGGACCCCTTGAGGACCTCAGTGGTTCCACTGGGGTTTCCGCTGCTCCTGTCTGGAACTGCTCTGCAGGGCATCACGAAGCGAGTTTGTGCTCTTTGGAGCAAGGGCAGTGCTTTCTGCACTGTTCCTACCTTCGGGTTCGGGGTTCAGCAGGTGAATGATATGTGATCACTGAATTCCACCCGTGTCATTGGTCTGCAGCACAGGGAACCCTCCAGGGCCTGGCTGGGCTCAGGGTGACCTGCCCAGGATGGTGTGCAAGGCTGAGGCATGACAGTCTGCCCGCTCTTCCTTTGCTGGGCAGCATCCTTCTGCCCTCCCACCCATAGGTGTCCCTGAGGAAAAAGAGTGCCTCACTGCCACAGTGGGCTCCCTGCAGGGAGGGTGCTGGCTGGAGAGGGCCGGATCCTGAGAGTCCCTCAGTATAGTCCCCAAGACTGAGAACAGACTGTGAGGCAGCGAGGGCTCAGAGCTCTTTTGGGGAGCTCCTCCAAGACCATGCCTCTGTGCTGAAGTTAATCTGGACACTGACTCACTTGCTTTCTGAACGTCTGCTTTCTTAAAAACTTTCACATTATGGTAAAATATACATAACACGAAATTTATCAGAGTGACCAGTTTAATTCTCTAGCTCATTGGCTTTGATCATGTGTCCCCCATGCTCATGCCTGGTGTCCCATGTGCAAAGATTCCCTGCTTTTAGAGGCTGAATAACATTCCATTGCATGGATAGGCCGCCTTGGCTCTATCCATTCATCTGAGCATGGAAGCATGGTAGCCTCCACATTTTGGCTGCTGTGAATACTGCTGTCACGTGCGGGTGTGCAGAGAGCTTCCTGTGCCCCAGCTTCTGCTTTGTGGGGGCCCAGGAACTATTTTAGAGGGCAGGGCAGGGTGAATAATTGCCTGCCAGCACATCACCCCAGCAGACCTGGGCTGGCTGAGACTTTCCGTGAGAGAGTTAGTCTGGGGTGCTGTGTGCCATCGCATTTCTCCTGGAGGAGGTGGGATTCTGCAGTCGATCACTTCCTGCCGCAGGTGGCGCTGCATGGATCATCTCTGCAGAGAGCTATGTCTGCCCACCTCTTCCCAGTTAGCAGTTGTGATCTCTGGGGAAGAAAGAGAAGGGTGATCACTTCAACTGTCTCGGACTGAGTATAGACAGTCATCCCTCCAGTTAGCACGAGCATCCTTCCATGTGCGTGAATACCCCTTCTCTAACACGCACGTGGGTTGTCAAGGGAAATGGGCATTTTCTCCCAGAATTCCTATGTGTGAAATTTGCACATGTGTTCATTGACAGTTTGGGGTCTATATAAGGGCAAACAGTAGACATGGCAACATCTCTCCTGTCCTACAGCCCAAAGACACACCCTTGGAAATTGGGGGCGGGGGAGAGTTTCCAGGGCGGCTGCACCACGAAAATCCCGGCACCCCCTTTGAGGATTCATGGTGCGCATTAACCTGCGGAAGGCTCTGAGAAGCCCTGCAAGGACTTTGTTTAATCTAACCACTGATCTCCTATTTGCCTCTCTTTCCTGGTGCTACCAGTGGAGCCCAGGGCCTTGCCCAAGGTGGGCACCTGCTGTGCACCGAGCTTCTCCAGCCTTGGTCTCCTCTTTAGATGGCACCTGTAGGTACCCTTTCTAGCCAGCAAGGCTTTGGCCGCGGGCTTAGAAGTGCCTTAACCATGGAGCCTCTCGGGGAGCAGTGGCTGCCGAAGGGGTTCCTCTGCAGGTCATTTATTCCATTTGCCTTCCAGGGAGAAAAAAAGCGAAGTAGGGGATGTGGCAGGGGCCCCTGAGTGCCCTGTGCTGTGCCGCTTGGTGACATCGGTAGGGAATGGAGAGTGGCCAAGTGTCGAAAAGGCTGGGATGGATTTAGGGTATTTGTTAAACGAAGCAAAGCCTGTGACATCCCAAATGTGGGCTCCAGCTGCATATAATACAGCAGGGAGACCCCCTGCAGTCGTCCCTGGAGTGTCACATGTGTCCACATCCTCCAAGTCCTATAACCCCAAATCCAGTGGCAGCAGCGGACGGCTCTCCATACTGTCCATGTTGATGGGGGACAAAGATGTCTAAGAAGCAAAGTCAGGGAACTGATTAGAGACTGCAGTGGAGGCCGCTCAGGGCCGAATTTGCAGCTCCCTGTGCTCCAGAGGGTCCCCGTCCCAGAGCCCCCTGCTGTCTTGGTTCCCGCTGTCTCCTGTGCACTCTGCTCCTTTCCCTGCCCTGTGCACCTGCAGCTGGTGGGGTACCCGGGGCACACCTCCTGTGGGACCAGCGCAGTATCCAGCTTCAGGGAGATGGTCTCAGCTTTGGCTGAAGGTCACTGCAGGGAGAACTGCCCCTCAGCTCACTTGTGCCCAAGATGCTAAGGCATCACCTATGTGGGAGGAGAGGGGTCTCCTCCCAGGCCCCCACCCGGCCAAGGCCGCCCCGCTTCCTCTCCTGCCCCAAAGGCTGCACCCGAAGGCTCCCACTCTGGCCCAGCCCCAGACCAGCTGGGTGCCACACTGCACAGTCACCTCCCGCGGTCACCCTGCCAGCTCAGCACGATGTTGTAGGAGATTAGCTGTCCCAGGGAGAAACGATGGAAGCATTCTTGGGCTTAGTCATAGTGCTGTCAGGCTTTGAGAGTCACCCACCTTTTTCATTTTTGCTGGGGGCAGCAGCGTAGCTCACAGAGGATCACAGGTGCTGGGCAGGAGGCTGCGTCCCTCCCTGTTCCTGGGGTGCTGCCCAGAGGTCAGTGTGAAGGACGTTGCATCCTGAAGAATGTCGACAGCCCGTGTGGAATGAGCCTGTTCTGCTTCCCGGCCTGCCCAGCTGTGAGGCCAGCTGTTCCCTGGAAGGGTATTTTTTTACACTTGCCTCTCTCACTTCTATTCTGGTCCTGGCTGAGCACATGGGACACAGAATAGTAAAACACCCCTTAATTTGGATCCGTTAGGGGTGAGGCTCCCATGAATAACTGAGCCTCGGAATCAAAGGTCTCTTTGAAGTTGTTTTATTGCTCTCAGATTCCCGCTTTACTCACCAACAGACAGCCCTCCAGGGCCTTCCTAACTGACGAGCAGAATTAATGAGCAGTAATCAGCTTGTGCTGGTTAGGGCACGGGGCACATGCTCGGTGCTATTCTTGCCTCTCAGAGCGGCTGTATATTGTAGATTTTATGCCTCCCACATTGTAGATGTCAAAATGCAGCCCCGCAGCATGAAGTCACTTGCCCGGGGTCACGTGGATGTCACACAGAGCTGGGACGGGCTGTGGCTCATGAGGCCTAATGTCCCCGCTGTCACCGTGAGGCTCGGCTGCCCGTCATGATCACAGTCAAACCCCAGGCTTGGCCTGTGTCATGGTCCTCGTAGCCTCCTGGTTTTTGTTTATTGTGTAACCAGTCCAAGGATAACAGTCAAATCCAAACTGGTAAACATTTGAAAACTGTGCTGCCCTGTGATGATCTGAGCGTTTATTAAGCTGAGTAGTTCGGGGGTGAGTACAGGCTGGGTGAGATGCAGGTTCGTGCCCCTCGGTTCTCGCAGGTTGGCATTGGCCGTCTTCGTCATGGAAAAACTGGCTTAGCGTCTCAGGTGCTCTGACTCATATATTATAAAAAAGGTGGCTGATTCGGCAGGAAGCCAAAGAGTTCATCTTAATTAAAATTGTGCTTTTTTCTTTTTTAAGATCTCTTTTAATGTCCTGGGCATTGAATGAAGGTGTTGTGATGGTTCAGTTAGGCACCATCCAGGTCCCCAGTAAGAGACTTGTGAGTCTGCTGTGTGAGCTGCACCCCCGAGAGTGCCTGGGCAGCTTGTTAGAAAATGACACTTTCCACCTGGGCAGCCGGGTATAGCGTGACTGCAACCGGAGAGACCTGGTCTTGGCTGTCTGGCTGGCCACAGCGTCTGTGTTCCGAGCCAGTGGCTGTCCTGCTGGGCTTCTTCTTCTCCTGGTTCAGTGAGGAGGTTGACCATGACTTTCCCCAGCACTGTAAAGCTAAAAATTCTAGGAAAGATAAGACACAGACTGAGTGTCCTGTATCTGAAATTCTTGGAACCAGAGTATTTTAGACTTCAGGTTTGGGACCTGAAATATTTGCATCTACATGAGACAACTTCGGGATGAGACTAAAAGCTAAATTCATTACCTTAGACTGGCCTGAAGGTAATTGTATGTACTATTTTTCGTGCACTTGAGTTTTGATGCAAGGTATGAAATTTTTCACTTGTGGCTTCACATCAGTGCATTGGTTTTGATATTTGGAGCATTTTGGATTTCACATTTTCAGATAAGGCATACTCAGCCCATACTGTGGTATTCCGATTCTGACTCTGATCATGATCATGATTATCTGCAGTGCTAGGAGTCCAAGGCTGTACATAAGCTAGGCAAGCACTGGACCTCTGAGCTATAACTCCACCTACTATTATATTTAAAAACTTCCATTTATTGAATATTTGCTGTTCGTGGACACTACATGGCTTATTTTTGTTTATTCATTGTAACAGTGAAGGAACACCAAAGCCTGCCTCATTTTCACAGTGGTCTGCTTCCTTGTACATGCTGTACTGATACTTAGCAAGACACTGTTTTACCTGTAATAATTAATATACACCAGAGAACTGGTTTAGTGTGTTTGAATTAGAACTGAGTTCGTTGGGCAAGGTGGGGGAAGAGCACATGTGTTAGTGAGAGCTGGATTTTAATGAGATCTGCATTCAATCTTGGAGTAGTTGCTTCACCTCTTTAGCCTTGATTTTGCCATCTGTAAAATGGACCGTGGTGACACTGCCCATGTAAAAAGTCACTGGGATGACTGAATAGGTCAAGCAGCCAGCGGAGCGCCCTGCATGTGGCCAACTCCAAACTAATTCCAGCTTCCTTTCTTCCCCTGGAACAATACTTAATGTATGTAATAGATGAGTTCTATTGAAAGAGACTCCTTCATTGTTTTAAATAAACTTCTCATAGACCCAATTTCCTGTTGGCTTTGTAGCGCATTAATCACCATAGATAATACCTAATTGAAGTACAGTTGGGTGTCAGTGAAATTAAGAAACCAGACGCAGGGTGGTATCTGACCTGTGGGCTGTAGTTTAAGCAGCCCCATTATAGTGGAGGACAGGCCTGCCGAGGCAATTATAATGCCGTATTTTGTAGTAGTCTGGGCATTTATCCTGACCATGACCTGTGATTAAGCACACAGCAGGAGCCCTGACCTACTCTGAGAAGACCTCATGGTTCAGTCCATTAAACTTGGTAGATAGGAGAATGGAACCGTCGTCAACTGTCCATTTGTAATGTCCTACTGTAAATCCCTTCCTGGTGTGCGTACAGTGCTCCTCTCAGCTCTGGAAGACAGAAGCACAAGCATCGCAAGTTGACTGATGGGGAATACACAGTGCTCTGTTGGGCTGGGAAGGAACAGGGATGGTGGCTTGGTAGGGTAGCTGGGCTGTGAAGAGTACTTCCGGTGAAGGACCTCGGGCTTTGGGGTGCTTTGGCACAGCACGACAGGGAGGCAGTGGGAGACAGGCTTGTGGACAGAAGAGCAATGACTGGGATGTGAGGGGAGCTCCACAGGGTGGAGTTACAGCAGCACCATCACCTGTGGCAGGGGGAGCCAGGGAGGCCTCCTGTTCAGCCCACCTGGTTTCCTTCTTGTTATGGTTGATACATTGTGTCAACTTGAGCAGTTTAGAAGTTTGACTAAGAGACTCAGCAGAGGGCAAGGGTTCTTCCTTTGTAAATAGTCTTGTCCTGTGCAAGAGGACACCGAGGAGATTTTGTGAGTGCCACACTGGCCTGGAAGGGCAATGTGAGGAAGCAGAAGAGGCTACTACTACTCCCCGCTTTTACTGGCTGCTGCCTTAAAGTGTTGCCCCTGTGCCCTGCCACCCTGCCTCAGAGCCACAAGATTATGTACTGAAACCTCCACAGACTGTAAGCTAAATAAAATTTCCCTTCCTTCATTTGGCGTGGCGGGTATTTTGTCCCAGCAATGAGAGAAAGGTAACCAGTACACTTTCCTGCACATTCTCCCCATGATTGATCACCTGATCATTAGATTCTTCCCATATCAAGGAGTCCCTGACGCTCCTGTCTGAACGCCCTCTTCAGACCTCTTCCCAGAGGCAAGGGGAGCCCTTCTGTGTCACTGTGATGGTCCGGTGTCCCTCATGCACCGCACTGTGCTAGGAGTCCTATAGCAACACAGGGCACCGCGTCTGTGCTCTTAGGAGAACAGTATTCAGGTTACTGAATACTGTAGGCTGGAGGTCTGAGCGTTACTCACTGCAGGGGTTAACAGGCTGCTTCAGGCTCTGTGGGATTGGAAATTTCCCTCTGCCTCATCTCTCCCTACCTCCCTTTTCTCTCTGTAGTAGGTCTTGCTTGGTTTTTTGTTCTGTAGTTGGATCTGAACCCAGAACCTTTGCACTGATCTACATCCCTAGCCCTTTCTATTTTTTCCATTTTTGAGACAAGGTCTCACTGCATTGCTGGATTTCCCAGACTGGGTTCAAACTTGGCAATTCTCCTGTCTCAGCCTCCCAGAGTGCTGAATTCCAGGCTGCTCTGCCATGCTGGGCTTTTTCACCGGCCTGTTTACAGGACTTGTTTTAAATTTCCCTTCTTAGAGGCAGTTGGGAGGACCATTAGTAACATATGTTGGAAAGATTGTTAAGGTTTTGGTCAATAGAAGGACATTGCTTATCAATAATCTCTGCTACCTATTATTCAACTTTCCCAAATGCCACAGGACACTGGGAATCAAATGAATGAAATCATTCGCCTGCTCACACCCCCGCTTAGAGCAATGAACATCTTATTGGTTTTTGAGGAGAGTAAAAGAGTAGAAAAGAAAAGAGAAAAAACGACTCCCTGAATGGTTTTCCCAGACCTGACCACACAGTCACCTTGTCGGAGCCTGCGCTCAGGTGGTGATTTTTGGTTTCCTTTCTAAATTCTCCTGGAAAGATTTCTGTTTCTAGCCCATTAAAAAGCGCCAAAGTGAGTGAGAATCAGGGAAGCCCGTGTTGCTAAATGGAACCCACTTCCTGCATCATCACTACAGCCTGGGCCCTGGGTTCCAGAGGAGCGGGCCGTGGGAGAGTTAACCATTGGGAGACAGACGGAAATGAGATTGCTGAGTCGCCTGAGGATGGACCTAAAATGACCTCCTAAGTCATAAAAATGGAACCACATAGAGTCACAATGCTGACTGTTTCTCTGGAACAGGTTTCCTGCCAGAAACTCAGGCTGTAGGTTTATTAGCTTGGACGAGTTTGCAATCAGTTCTTGCTACAATTTCCTTCAAAAGGTTCATGATTATTCTTTTGGCATGGGTTAGGAAACAGTGAAAGCTGACGGGCAATTTAAGCGACAATTAACAATAAAAAATAAATAAACCTAGAGAAACCAAGCCCCACCCCCCAAAAAACAAATCCCCAGAGAACCCAGCAGAGATGTTTATTATGTCATTTAAGGAAGCTGGCAAGGGCACTGACTCTAATTGGCACCGCTGTTGGCTGCTGTTGACGGCGAGCTGCCTAAAACTGGGAGACTGAGCTTAGCAGCAAAAAGCAGAGTAATCTGAGGTTTTCAAACCGCGCAGTGTATCGTGAATTTCTAGGGAGCTTCCAGTGTACCAGGAGCGTGTACGCTGCTGGATTCACAGTGCTGAAAGCCAGGGCTAGGGGAGGCTGCCGACCGTGCAGCAGCTGAGTGTGGCTCGTGCGCTCCTGCAGCAGCCTGGCTCGTGGAGGGGGTCCCTCTGGTCTGTAACACGCATGGGTGTGTGTGTACACGCGTGGGTCCCTCACCACTTCTGAGTTACGGGACCACAGAGCACAGCAGGTGCGTGGACCCTGGAGAGGCTGCGAGATCATTTTTAAGGGGAAAAAGTGCTGATCCCACTTTCTCTCATTCTTGTGACTCAGGCAGGAGTTTTGTTTCACTGACGCCTTTGAAATTTTACGTAGTGCTATCCTCTTTGTAGTGCTGAACTGAGTGCCTCCTTTCATCTCACGTACTGTGCCTGGGTGGAAGCCAGCCGCTAGCCCTGCTCTGGGCAAAACCCTCGTGGTTTGCCAATGGAACAGGGTCGGGTGGGGCTGTCCTCCTCCAAGGGTGAAATTTCTGGGGAAATTTTCCTTCAGTTCCCTAGAAAACACTTCCTGCTTTAGTCAGTGGTGTTAACATAAGAAAACAATTTTAGGCTGTTAAGGCTTGTTCCGAGGCAGTTTGTCTGTCTTTCTCGCTGTGTCTCTCTTTCCCTCCCTCCC